AAAAAGAAAAAAAAAAAAAAAAAAAAAAAAAAAAAAAAAAAAAACACATCATAGTAAAACCAATACCTTCTCAGCTTCGCATCGAAGTAAAAATCACCCTATATATATATTATCTGTTTTTACAGATTGTAAATAATAAAACATGTATAGAATAATTTGTATTTTAAAGTATGTAATGTATTATTATTTTTAACTCAAATAGATAAAACAATGTATAACATACAGAAATTTACTTTAATAACTTATTGAAGTATTTTTAATATTACATTGTAGCAAGTATGCAGGTGAAAACTTTTTAATTTCAACTCGTTAGTGCCTAGTTATTACTATGTAGAGAAGGCTACAGATAAATAACCAATCTATATATATATCTAAATAGTAAATTTAAGAGTTTATGGTCTTAGCTTTTGTTGAGAAATAAACTTTTTTGAAACCCAACTCTTCATAACAAAAATTGTAAACATTTTTACAAAAATTGTTAAAATAATTACATGCACTTAGATAAATTTCTATTGTCTCTATATTAGGATTATTCATTATATTTGCTGTATACCTGAAATTGTCAACTAATTCTAATTTATTATAAAAAGGTTTTTTCATACAACAACGGATTTTCATGTGTCTCGCTTCGTTATGTAATTCTTCATAAAAGCCACGTCGAAAATTTAAAAATAAGTCTTCTAGATTTTGAACATTGACATTTTTCATATCAAGTTGATCAATATTATTAAATTGAGAAAACTCTTTTTTCTGCAGTAAATTGAGAAAATATTTAACCCATTTTAATATATTCTGTAAATTTGAATGAGAGTTGTAACTAACATTCCATATTGCCGATTTCTTTAAAGTATTTATAACTGAAAGCAATCCTTCAAACATTATTTTAGATTTGTTGAATGAGTTATAAAATTGAATCAAACAATTGTGCAAAACAGATTTTTCTCCTTTTTCACAAATAAAAAATATAGTAGATAATAATGTATAGTAGTTTTTCATTATTTCTGTAAACCTGCATCTTAATAATTGTAATACATGATCTTTTTTTATTTGAAAATTTATGCTATTAATTGGGTCTTTTATTATACTTTCTACGTTGAATTTTTTGTTATTATAAAATATATTTATGTGATCCATTGTATCCCAACCTTTTTCTCGGAGCATAATATTGAGAGCTTTAATTCCGTGATTTAGTTTTACATCTGATTCTAATTGCGGTAAGAATCTATATTAATAAAAAATATTGTGATTATAATGTATATAAATAGATGAAATCATATAAAATATTGTCGATAAGAAATTTTATTATTTTTATTTAGATTAATATTGCAAAAATTATTAAAAATATAGTGTTCAAATTAAAATGTTTAAATATTTCAGAATAAAAAAATGAAATAAAGGAATACAATTTTTTGATTTGATAAATAATAAGTTAGCAATTAAAAAACCCAACACAGGGGGGTCGCGGCACAGTGGTGACGTGGCATAGTTGGATCAAGCATAATGATATCTGACAGTGATTAAAATCACTATCAAAAAAAAAAAACGCTTCGATGCAAATCTTTAGATAGTGTTTAATTTTAAAAAATTGGTGGACTATTCCAAAAGCTACATGATCTGCTAGTTCATTATTAATATCCTAATTAAGATGAATTATGTCGAATGAAAAAGGGATTATTAAAAAATATTATTTCTCATAAAAAAATTGTCTTGATCCATACACTTTTCAATAAGTTATAGCATTATAAAGTTAAAAATATAAAAAATAAAATCGAGAATTTTCACACGAAAATAGCATTTGGTAGCCATTTTCGCCGTGAAGACAAGTCTAGAGGTCAAATTTTTTTTTTTTTTAATTAAAGTATATAACATAAGATTTAATTAAAGATATATATAAAAGTGTCAGACTTTCAGGAACACATTCAAAAGTTAATTTTTTTTGAAAAAGTTGTCATTTTAAACCTCCTTATGGACAGATAAAGTTTCAGATTTATAAAAAAAATATACCAAATGATAGGTAAAGATATCAAGAATCTATAAAAAAAATTATATTGATATGTTCATTTTTGAAAAAGTTACGGCAGTTTTTAGTAAAAAAAATTTCGAAAATTTCGAAAATTAGCGATTTTTAAATGTGTAATTTTTTTGGAGGTTTCCCCCATTTACGGGGAACGAGGGAATTTTTTTTAATTTTGGAGGGTAATGTCTTCAACTAGATACGATTTGTGATCTTTTGACGTATCATTGAAAGAAATCGGTTCGTTGAGAGCTGAGAAAAAGTGGCAACAGACACAAAAAAAAACACATCATAGTAAAACCAATAACTTCTCAGCTTCACATCCAAGCTAAAAAAATATCATAATATACTAATTTTCTATAATTATATATTTTTGTGTTCTTTTGTAGCAAAATAATTGTTTTAGTTTCGATGCGAAGCTAAGAAGGTATTGGCTTTACTAAGATGTGTTTTTTTTTTTTTTTTGTGACTGTTGCCACTTTTTCTCAGCTCTCAACGAACCGATTTCTTTCAATGATACGTCAAAAGATCACAAATCGTATCTAGTTGAAGACATTACCCTCAAAAATTAAAAAAAATTCCCTCGTTCCCCGTAAATGGGGGAAACCTCCAAAAAAATTACAAATTTAAAAATCGCTAATTTTCGAAATTTTTTCA